CAAGTCTCCGAAAACAAGTGGATCCGGGTAGCGGCCAAGCTCTACAAGCCCCACCTCCGTCAGGTGATTCAGTGCCAAGTACGAGTTCGCGATCGAGAGCTAGCTCGTTGAATAGCCTCGACAGGGTGACGGTACGTACTAGTTTTTCGAACCTAATTGATAATTAGGTTGTTTTACGCCTTGTTATATAATAAAGTAATTACTTTTACTTGTTTAGACGGTCTCCCGAGATGAGGACAGTGCTCAGTCAGCGCAAGCTTCAGCAGAAACTAATGCTATTCAACAAGTTATGATCGATAAGGTAGGTGGTCTTAGTAGTGATCTTTAATGAAGTGGCATGATTACTCTAATGCGTTCACTTCTAGATTATCGTATTACAAAAGAAGTTAGCGCGAAGAAATGATAAGATCGAGTTTTTGGAAGAACATGTACGGCATTGTTTAGAGGAATTACAGAAGAAAACAAAGTGAGTTTGATTGTGTAGTAAAAAAAAAAGATTAGCAAGTAGCACCGCTAGGCTTACATTCTATAATCTATTCGGTGACCATCTCTCCTCTATGTTAAGAGTGCAGCTTCGTTCACTTCGCTCCTTATAAATCGAAAATCCTAACGGAATCAACCTTTTTATGAGAAAACTCACTTGTCAGTCTTTAAGGATAATCCAGCATTATGCGTTGCGTGAAGAAGCCTCTTTATTACTTCCCTCTGATGGATCTCTGGACAAGGTGCGTAATTTTCTTACCTTCACTTTTTTTCACGGTCAGAACTCAATTGATTTATAGCTAATGGAATGTTGCGAAGTTATGCAGGTAAGTTAAGATTGGTTGTGGTGTCTATGTGGAATTCATTTCTCAGTTCCACCTCTGTTAAACAGTTCACTATCGATTTGTTGCTGATTTTGTACTGTGCAGCCTATCAACTTCAGTTAAAAGCAGTAAATAGATTGAATGCTATACAAATAAGGAAATTAACTAGTGAGCCACACGGTCATAGCCCTGTCCAAGCCTACCCACTGCTTTTAATTGAAACTACTTCTGCCACAATGTTTCTACCAAACTACATGAATTCGCTAGCCATTGTTTTGTTGTTACAGGTCCCGTTATCGCGGAAGGGAGCTTCCTACTCGTTGATGGGATCGATTTTTACTGCAGGCAGTGAGAAGAGATCTTTACAATTGGCTACCGAAGTGAACTCTCGACTACAAGCTGTACTGGAAGATGTGATGATCAAGAATATCACTCTCAAGGTCAGCTACGCGCAGCTTCTTCTCGAATTTTCGTTCTATGGTCAGTCAGCAACAATGCACGCTACGACCAATATATACTTATTTAGAGCTCGGTGGATTCGCTTAGTAACGAGGTATCACGATTATCCCGAGAAAATCGCCAACTCACATTAGCACACAGTCGATGTGCTGAACAACGGCCATAGAAGATGAATTTTATGAACTGTGAAAATACAAAATTTATGAATTATTAAGACATAAATTATTAATTCTATTGGATGATTGTTGGCTAATTTAGCACATAAGGAATTCACAAACCCGCAGTATCAAATCCAGCCACTACAGACAGAGAAAAAATTAGAACACATTCTATCGGCATTGCGGTAATGAGCGAATGGAAAAGAGGTCGAACAAGGGAAAAACGTTACCGTAACTTTGAGTGGAGAATATACCTCATTGGAACTGCACCACCGCAATAATCTAGATCATGGACAACAATAAGATTAACTTTTATCGCTGTATATTTTTTTTNTTTTTTTTACAAAGCCTCAACATTTCGTAACATTCTCTTAGTCTACTAGAAACATCTGAAGAGGTAGGAGACTATATCATCGTCATTTAATGGTAACTCGAAGGGAGAAAAATCAAAACAGAAAGTGATCTTCTTTAGAATAAAACAGTTCCACGCATAAAGCAATGGCTTAGTAGAGTCTAATGCAAGCTATCTATTTAAGCGGTGAACATCAACAGTAGAAATCTGTTCTTCATCTATAATTTGTAATTTGGTGAGAATCAATGACACAGTAATCGCAGCTGTAAAAATTGACTAATCAAAAACTAGAGATCTGAGAGATGAGTTAGCAATTAAAAGAAATTAAAGAAAAAAAGCGAGGCAAGTGATGGTTATTAAAAGCAACAATTTGGATTGAGTTTATCAGTATTAATGCTGTACACAGATCAACCATTATGTCAATAACTTCTTTTCGAGGACGTTCTCCTCATTCCACTTCGTATTCTTCGCGAATTTGAACCCTGACAATTCAGGGAAATACGTTTACAAAAAAGAGAATAATAGAATCTAAAGTAATCCAATAAAGCAAAAAGAATAAATAGATAAACAACAAAGTCTGTTGGCAAGCTTGTTTATTTGATATGCCAAAAGCTGGTGAACGAAGATGATTGGATGCTATGGTAACTTCTTGAAGCATTGAAGTGAAAGTGAACAAGCGAAGAAGTTTTCAAAGAACTCGAATACGTACATATTCAACAAATAACTATGATGGTACCGTATCCTTTTAGGTACGAGTATTTGAGAATCTATTATAAAAATAGCAGAAGTATGTGCGTAACAAAATTATCACTTCTCAGAATACCGCGATTTCCAGAGGAATAAAATTCCAGTCCGCTTTTTTATTTAATCCCCAATTTTATCGATTGCAAAAATACTGGCGAGCTCGCGATTGCTGGGAAATGGTTGGATTTTTTAATATCCTATGTGATTCCGGGACATTTATCAAAGTTTGATAAATGAAAAGGCCCAAAACTTACTTTTTTGTCTTCGTCGTTTTTTTCACAGTTTTGACGACGACGGACGGACATATACCTTGACATAAACATGAGTCACATTTAGGTCCCAAAGGTAGGCATATTTGTTGTCCAAAGCCAACGAGTAGAGGATTTATCGTTGTCCACTGAGATCTGAAAGCAATGGAACATAAGAAATGTCAAAAGCACCAATAGCTGATTGGTTATTCTAGTTGGTCTCCAGTGAACCACTATACAAACAACAATAATAATTAACTTCTCACCTGGGTAGCATCTCCTGCAGCTTGACCCGAGTTTGCTCTGGTGTACTCGTTTTCATCCATCCTGAATATAGTCAATCTATATTACACCCTTTCCACAACAAAACTGGGAAAATAAAGATTCAATTTCAATAAGTCTGATCCTGACCCACAATAGCCCTAAAATTTGATGACACCCCGGAAATTTATGAAATTTCATTGCAAAACTCATCTTTTCTTCGAATTTTCAAGAACCATCTTGCTTTGAACATAATCTAACAAAAGCAACCTTCTGGTGATAAAGGGAAAATGATACATGTTCAGGAGAAATTATAAAATAATGATGTAGAACATAGTAACTGCAAAAATTACCTAAGCGATTCACAATACGATGCACATGAGTGTCCACCGCTATGCCTTCAACCTTATTCCATGCGATTTGTAATACAAGGTTCGCCATTTTTGGCCCAACACCAGCCAGAGCGCAGAGGTCTTGAAATTTAACATTATCAAGGTTTGCGAAGGAACGAGCAAGAAATTGCTTGACGTTCCTCACCCTCAAGAGTGTCCGGAACGTCACCATCATACTTCTCTTTGAGAACCTCTGCTGCTTTTTTAACGAAAACAGCTTTCTTCTGAAAAAAAAGTGATAAGAATTAAACAAAAGGAAGAGACTTGATCACCGACCCTGTAAAATCCAACAGGACACAGGAGTTTTTCCAGCTCAGCGGTTGGAATTTTGATCATTGCATCCACATTGCACCCATATTTTTTAAGTCGCTAAAATTATCTTTGTTCCTGGATGCTATTTTTAAAAATCTGAAACGTAAAAATGACCAAAAAACTTACATACATGGCAGCAGCGTTGACTTCATCTTTTGTTTGACTCGACAGCATCAGTGCTACAAGCGTTTGGAAACGAAAGTCCTGAAATATGGGATGGTAGTCCGAAATATAGGCGCTAGTGAGCAGATCACTGAGGTTTGAAGCTACCCAGAGCAGTATCTACTGGTTCTACCTGACGATCCCTGCTGACTACTTCGTTTTCAAAGATTAAAACCAAAGAAATATCAAAGACGTTGGAACATTAGAAAGGAGCGCTAAAGGATGCACTGTTAAGGCGGTTAAAACTACAAACCCAACTTTCACAAACTACCTGTTCTTATTCTCTCCAAAAGTATTTGAAAATAAGAGGAAATCTGACTCAATGCATCAATTCCATTTACATTACTGACTGATCACCAAATTAACTCATCAGGAGTATAATTACAAGGTTTAAATGAGGGGAAAAAACGAAAATAATATATTAACACCTAGGGGTAGTATAAAAATAAAATCTGAGAAAAATACTAAAAAAGTTAGTAACTTTCCAAAAATTTTTCTAACCTTTGCTGAAGCTAATGGATCGGGTAGCTTATGGCATCCCATCGTGTCCACAGGAGCACCTCCGAGTTTACGCATTTCGGTGATCCTTTCAACCTAAATAATGAGCCTATTTCGTGACACTTCTGCTTTCTTACTATGATATCTCAACGCAGAAAATCGTTAAGAACCGTGAGAAGAAGGCCAGCAAACTTCAGTACCTGTAATTTCCATAAATCTTCGATGTCGTAAGTCTTCTTCTCAGAAACGGTTTTCGTCAATTTGATTTTAGCCGACCTCTTCATCCTTCAATCATGCGATATAATTTAGGCTTCATGCTGGAGCAACATAAACTCAGCTCTGTTGTTTAACACGAATTGACTAACTGAATATTTGAAACAAGGAAATTGAAAACGAAATTTAGTTTACTCAAGTTAAATGGCAAAATGAAAAATAAAACACGGTGACATTCAAAAAAAGTGCCCAAGACCTCATTTTTAAAAGTGGGTGATTCCCACAAAAACTTTGACTTTGCGAATCACTTTCATTTATCTACTTCTTTTAAGTCATCACACAACCACATTGAAACCACAACGATCAAGTTTGTATGTTCGCTGTTTCCATTCCTCCAATGTGCACGAAGAGACTGTCGGCCAACGAACGATTATGATGTTTGAATTCAAAAATCGAAAAACAGCTGAGTTTTTAGCGTTACCAATAGAAATTTGGTATAGACTTAGTGTGATTTTTAAATCTAACTATAGAAAGCTTCATTAAATATTTCCGGTTAACCCAAATTAAACAGATTAATTGAATGATAACTTTTTTTTGCGCGCTTCTTTGATATTAATGTGGTGACAAGACGTGTTCAAAAAAGCACTTATTCAACTGAAAAAGTCCAACCTTAAAGACGTGGTCCACTCGAGGAACACACAGCCAAATAACTGGTCTGCTTGAAATTTCTTTAAAAAAAGCTTCACTTTGCTTAAACACCCTTAATCCTCTGGTACCTGGAAACCAAGGATAAAAAGCGGTACAGTTTTTTAGAAAATTTCGCGACGACTACGGTGGAACAATGCCGAAATACGTTCATTCAAAATAGATCGCGAACATTGAAATACTACATATCGGTGAAAATGTAGTTAGAGGGGGGACCGCTCTCTTTCAAACCCTTGATTGCGCTCTCTCAATGAAACATATCATATGCGGCCATAACCTTTAGATTACAACTTTTCGTATATACTGACACTTTGCAAAGGACTGCGCTCCTCCTCTCCTTAGGTCTGGGGCCAAAACATTCCCTGGCTCAGAACCTTTGCTACGTACCCACTCCAGGCGGGGCATTTCATCCTTCCCGAGCTCTAGTAGTCAGTGTTAAAGATGCAAAGCACAATAGGGTGGTTCCTACAACTACATTTTCACCCAATACAAGTAGGCATTCTTCCAAAACTCTCGTAACTTTGTCCTCTAGAAAACCCAAAACCTAAATAATCAAATTCAGTCATCGGGCGATTTACTGAAAGGATGGCAAGAGGGAGGGCAAGTCCCAATACAATCTGATTTCATAAAATTTAAATGATGCATTAAAGGTGCATTTTTTGCTCACCTTTGGAAAGGGCATGGTCTCTCTAAATTACAAGAAGGATTTACCAGTTAGAAGAAAGCATTCGAAAGGAGAAGGTCATACGCTACCAATTCAAAGGGTAAGAACTTGGTTATCGCCTTTGTATCCCCATTCGCCCCTTAACAAATCCGTGCTCTGTCTTGTAATGGATTTACGAAGATTTAAAATTTCTTGGATTACTACTAGAAGGGTGATATTCACGAGAAAATAAAGTTATATAGGCTACTTTGAACCATTCTAATAAATGTTTACGTTCCGCGGCGCCCCAATTCTGCAGACTTCACAGGCTACCGTAACGTAATACACATGCCAACCGAGCCATTACTGTAAACACTTTCATCTTACCTTTAATATCGCGCGTAGGCTGGCTTTTATCGAGTTCAGAAGACTGAAGTACTAGATATTGCGTCAAGGTAGTAGAAACGTAGGAACATACTAACCTTCAGAAGCCTACCTTCGAGCCACTCAGTGTTATGGAAAAGAATGAAAGCTGTATTTTACGCTTCCAGCTGTATCCCTTGCCAGTTGAGCTGTTTGAGGAAGTCTAATTGGCCGTGGAATCATTCGAGAGGGTTAAACTCCATTCTCGGGAGGTCTGAGAGTTTTTTTGGCTCACAATCAGTCATGATACGGACTAAGGCTCTAACCGCGTACCAGGCGTACATTCTCACCGGCACGCTCAACAAAGGCCAAACCGCTTGAGCTTCGCCCGTCGAAACATCACTTCATCCACAGGTCTGCGATAGACAGATCTATGGAAATTGACCATCCCTTGGTCCGCTGTTAGCTTCTTTCTTCAGATAACGAAGAATCTTTGCTACGACAGTTTTGAAACGATTATGATATTCTCCTTAAGATTCCTCCGATCATCTCGAGGGGTACAATTCAACGCCTCACAGTCTTACCTGCCATTTTGGACACCCTCTCTTCCCATTACACGGTCACGAATATATTCCAAAATAGATCGCCATAGGGATATTCGGATGAGTTATGCTCTGCAATTAAGGGTATAATCGTAGCAGGGCGTAATAAAGTTGAACCAGAACCAGGGGCCGTAAGGTATGCTCTCCTGTCTTTTCATTAGCCGTGATAATGCCATGAACGAACTCTGTCGAGCCCAAAAATCCTTTCCAAAACATATTATGCAAA